CTGACTGAGTTTTTAACCAAATTGCCAAAGTCAAAGAGGGTTTCCATAGGTGTATTCATTTAGACAGATTCTGAAAATCTATCTGAAGGGACTGAGCTTCCTGTCCGGAACAGCAGTCCCCACCAATCTAGTGTTCATGCTGTAACTCCTGGCTCAATCTTTTTTACGACTTCCTGTCTTGCAAAATGTGTGCCTCTAATAAGAAGAGTCAACTTCTATTGAGCATTACGTGTGGTTCCCACGGAAGCACAACCCATCCACCAGCTCAGCTGCTCCTCAGTTTGGAGAGGCAGGAGAGCACAGTGAGCAGCAGCAGATCTTCAGAATCAGGCCTGGATTTGGAACAAAACACGACTGACTGCTTGATGTTGACTTAGGCAAGCTGCTCAACTGCTCTGAGTTTCACTTTTTGCCTATGAAGTGAAGGTAACGAGCTCTCCCACAGGGTGGTTGTAAAGGTGAAGATACGGGCACACAGTATGTATGTACGTACGTATGTATGTATGTAAAGACCTGGTACATAGTAAATGCTCAACAAATAGAAGTGTTCATCACTGAGCTTTCATGGTGGCAGCCTGGGAGGACTCTTTGCCTTGCTAAAGACTGTTCTGGGTTCCAGTGTTGGGGGCTGGTTGATCTTGTCTAATGAACAAAGAAAAGATTTCAGGGGAATTTGGCGTACATTCACGGTCGCTCAGATCAACATCTTAGCCCTAGATTCTATTTATCATAAGCGATGAATGAACAAGAGGTCAAAGAAAGGAACCAAGGAAAGGAAGACATGCAGAAGTAGGCACTTAGAAGGAGACAGTCAGAGAAAAGTAAGAATTATAAGAAAAAGAATGAGCATGCCATTCAGTTAGGAAGTCCTGAAAAAGGGTGTCAGAACTAATTCTAGTCCCTGGGGAGCCTGAGGCGGTGCTATGTAACCTGAGGGGTTGGTCAATCACTGTAGAACCTTCTAGACAAAAATGAAGGCTCTACCAACAGGTGAGAGACACAGTAGAGGCCTTTGAGGGATATGAAGCCCCACAGGCAGAATTCTATGTTTTATAAGGTCTCACATTCTCAGTCCCACTAACAAAAGAATATCCATTTATTGTAGGCTTCCTTTGAGAGTATTTAATTACCTATGCACTATGGATCTTGTTACAAAGCAGACAGATCCATACGCATTCTTACCCCCAAGCCCTTGAAGTGGAGGAGCCCCCACTGATGCTAGAGGGTGCTTCTGTCTCCAAGCTGCCTCTAGAGCCTATAAAAAAGGGCTGACAGGGCTGGGCGCGGTGACTCATGCCTGTAATCCTAGCACTTTGGGAGGCTGAGACGGGCGGATCACCTGAGGTCAGGAGTTCGAGACCGGCCTGGCCAACATGGTGAAGCCCTGTCTCTACTAAAAATACAAAAATTAGCCAGGCATGGTGGCGCATGCCTGTAGTCCCAGCTACTTGGGAGGCTAAGGCAGGAGAATTGCTTGGACCCGGGAGGCAAAGGTTGCAGTGAGTCAAAATTGTGCCACTGCACTGCACGCCAGCCTAGGTGACAGAGTGAGACTCCGTCTCAAAAAAAAAAAAAAAAAAAAAAAAAAAGGCTGACAGAACTGATGTCGACTAAGATTCCAATGAAGACTCCCACCCTCACTTAGAACAAGGACCATTCATGCTTGGCTCTTGGATAATCAGAGTCTGATTAGAAATATACATTAAATTAAGTGATCCAGGTTAGTAGGGCAATGGTAAAGCAGGTATTGGCTACCCATTTAGTCCTGAGAGTCAAAATGGGGCAATGCAATGGCCGGATGCCACCAGGAGGCCTAAGGAAAATGTTGGATGAAGGGGGAGAAAGGCATAAAGGAAGAGGATCTACTGAAGTTGAAACAAAGGATAGAGAAAGAAAACAAAGAGAATTAAACACATACAAATGAAAATGACCCCACATTATATGTTTCTGAATTGTTCCCTTCCACGGGATATTTACATGGGGCCAGTTGCTTACAGCTAGCACTTGGAGTTGAACTTAGTTGCTCTGAAGGAAGAGAGGATGGTTCTCTGCCCTTTACCAGAGATCCAAGCTGTCCAGAGGCCTAAAGAGTCCCTGACATTAGAAGGAAAGTTCAGACCAGGTGTAGTGACTCAGTCCCATAAACTCAGCACTTTGGCAGGAGAAGGTGGGAGGATCACTTGAGGCCAGGAGTTTGAGACCAGCCTGGGCAACATAGTGAGACCCTGTTTCTACAAAAAATTTTTTAAAAAGTAAATTAGCTGGGCATGGGAGCATGCACCTATAGACCTACTCAAGATGCTGAAATGGAAGGATCACTAGAGCCCAGGAGTTTGAGCTTATAGTGAGCTATGATTGTGCCACTGTACTTCAGCCTGGGCAACAGAGTGAGACCCTGTCTCCCTCTCTCCCTCCCTCTCCCTCTAAAAAAGGGAATCTCCATTTCCGAAGTCTGCCTGCACCCACTACCCCCACCACCACCCTCAAACCCAGATTCTTTGTTCTTGAAACTTCAGCTGTTCTCTAAATAGGGAAATACACACAAGGTACATTCCTGGAAAGAGAAGGTGTCAGAAGCCTTGGTAGAGAAGGGAATGGGGAGAAAAAGTACGGCACAAATAGTGAATGGGGAGAACAAACAATGCATGCACAGGAGGGGAAGGTGGTGCCACAGAACAAGTTAAGATGGGAGATAAGGAGCATCAGACACAGCATAGCCCCACAGGCATGGGCAGGGGACAGTCTCCTGGATGTCCCGAGCAGCAGTGACTGAAAGGACAGATGGGGACTGGGAATCACCTTTATGTGGCTATGATGGAGTCCAGTTCATTTGGAAGCAGCCTTAAGTCCACAAATGGATAAATGCATGATCTGGCTCCCCTACGGCTTGGATCCTCTCTCTTTCCACTCTCGTCCTCTTTTATCCTGCTGTACTCAAACTGGCCTCCTTTCCACTTTCCCAATTCCCACCTTATTGGAGAGGCCTTCCCTGGCAAGAGCAGCTTCCTGCCGCTGCACTCCCTGCTGTCTGCTTTAATTTTTCTCCTTGTACTTATTGTCAATAATTTATTTTGTCTGTTTCCCCCAGTGGAATGTGAGTTCTGTAAGGAACTCCGTAAACTCCATATCTTCTAAATATTGCTTAGCACATAGCAGGCCTCATTAAATATTTGTTGAAAGAATGCATGAACCGAAAGCCATCATATTTATTATATGTATAAAGAGTTCCGTTGGCTGAAGTGTTGGGTGTTTTGGGTTGGACCATCTTTAAGGGTAAGGGGTAGGGGAAAGGGTGAGCAACCACGGCAGTGGAGAAACCTCCATAAGAGTTGCTGTGTTCTGTTTGGAAATCTGTATTTCCACCTCTGCTCCGAGGTTTGTAGGCTTGTGGCAGCTGGCCTCCACATTGGCCCCCAACAATCCTCGGCTCCTGATATTCATGCCTCAATGTAGTTCACACCCACTCAGAATAGGATATTGCAAAAATAATGGTGTGCAACCAATAGGATTGGTCATCAAAGACGCTGTGTCTTCTTTCTCTTTCTCTGATTACCCACCCTGAGGAAATCCAGGCACCATGCAGTGAAGACACTTAGCTACCCAGGGAGAAAACATCACAGGGAGGAACTGAAGCTTCTTGCCAACATCCAGCACCATGTGAGCGAAGCATCCTGGAGGCAGATCCTCCAGCCCTAGTCAAGCCTTCAGAGGAGGCAGCCCTGCCTGACGTGGTGATGGCAACCTCATGAGATTCCAAGCACAAAGCACTCAGGTTCCCAACCCACAGGAACCATGTGAGATAAGAGATGTTTATTACTGTTTTAAAATGCTAAGTTTGAGAGTAAATTGTTTCACAGTGCTAGGTAATAATCACAAAGTGGATGATATGGGGACTAGTGATCCCAGGTTTGAGTTGATAGACTATGGCCCAGAATGTATGTATCTTTTAGTGAGTAACCGTGAAGTGCATTTTCCACTCTGGAGATAGCTGGTCCCAGTTTGATTCTGCAACTCTTAGTAGCCACAAATGCCACCTGTATCCTCAATAAACTTTATTTAGACACAAATAGACACAACAGAAAATACATACACAGATACAGATTTTTTTTTTTCTCTATAGGATGAACAAACATCACATAAGGAATTTTAAAAGTAGGTGCATGGAACGTAAGAAAATATTGCACAGTTCCTTGTTTACTCACACAAGACACATATCTCAGGGGAAGACAGGGATACATCATCCCTACAACAGAATTCACATTTGATCTATAACAGCACACAGGTATTGGGACGGTAATCAAAGGAGTTAGGGATCCAGTGACTCTTGATGTGACAGAATGCTCACAACACTCGTAGGACCTTGTTTAAACAAAAGACAGAATTGAGGAGGAGTCCGTGCCCCCCGCACAGATGCTCTGCAAGCTGTCAGCTAGGTCGTAAAGCAGCTCAGCAGAAACTCTAGGTTAGCTTTCATCTTGAGGCTTGAAGGTTTGCATAACCTTCTACCTTTGTGTCCACATCCCAGAGTGTTTACGGAGACACACTGAGGATGCTGAAACTCTCCACATGCACACCAGCTTAGATACCACAGTACAGAACATTGACATCGGTTTGTAAAATGCAGCTTTCAAAAGGAAAAGGAATAATAGCCAAGAGGCGAACACACACATTGCAAATGCTGCTACATCCACCGGCAGTGTTTTCCACCACACTCCCGTGGTCCCCTCCCACAGGGAGCCGCCGGCATCTGCGTCCTGCTCCCCGCCATGGGTGGAGCGGGATGGGTGTCTCTTGGAAGTCTATCGCCCTCTAAAGTCACACCTGTGACCTCCTGGTAACTCCTGTCAGAAGCCACGCATGTCACCAGGACAAGCTGCCATGGAACCACCCCGCTTATTCCTGTCCCAGACAAGCCTCTGGCCTCCACACCATCTTCTCATTTCAGATGGGGGTTCCCTAGGCCACCTCTGTATTTTAGTAAAAAATGGTTTCCACTGTACCCTTGGTGTGTCCTCTTCCTAATGTGACAAATCCAGATGAGATGAAGTTATGGAGATCAGGTCCTCCACTTCGGTAAGCATCCTTCCCATAATGCCCTGCAAGAAGATGGGGCAGAATTACCTGGCGCATCCACGACACCAACATGGAAGACAACAAGCGCAGCTGCACCTCACTCAACAGTGACGGCATGCATACCAGCAGCTAAGTCAGAAGGTGGAGGCAGTCAAGAATATATATACACATATATAAAATATATATTATATATGAAAATTATATATATTACTGAATATATATACATATACATATATAATTATATATACATATATGTGTATATATATAAATGTATATATACACATATATATACTCAGGGGAAGACAGGGATACACATCCCTACAACAGAATTCACATCTGATCTGTAACATATAATATATATAGAAGTATATATATACATATATGTATATAAAACTGCGCAACAAAGAACAAAGTCCTGGGAACATTACATTACATTGAACGTATAGGAGAGCAAAGGAGATACATGGCTTGATTTTGACATTTCTGGCTGAGCGCAAGGTGCACCAGAACCTTAGTCTATTTGTCCTAATGCTCTTTCCTTTATCTCACCTTCCCTCTGTCTCTTTCATCCATTATTCATTTGTTTTTTTCTTCCTAATGTTTATGAATCACACCACAACCTGTGGGACTATAGCTTGTGACTTCAGAGAAATCCGACAGCCGCTGAGGCTGACAAATAGAATGGTGGTTACAAAATACTGAGAAAATATATATGTGCTTCGCTTCCTTGACTTTCTGCAGCAGACATTATCCCCTGCCCGCCTAATACAGATATCTATATCTACCTGTGGGTTTGAGGGGAGGCAAAGACGGAGGGCAGGTTAGGATTGTGGATAGAAATTCAAAGAGACGTAAGTTAATGTTCTACTTCTGACATTCAAAATAGGATTTTGCAGTATGCTTGAAATACAGGCATTGTAAAGAAAGAAAGGCCTCTCTGAATGCCCTCCTAAAGTATGTACATGTGAAAATGGAGAAAAACCATTTCTTTCATGTTACCACAAGAGTGTATTAAAAATCGTATGTATAGCTATAACAATGCACAGAACTACTTCAGATATAATGTGAAGTTTAAAAATGGACAGAAACGGTTCACTAAATAGAATCACAGTGCTGTAAAAATTCACACCGGTGCATGTGCGCGCGCGCGCACACACACACACACACACACAGATAGAAAAAAAGCACACCAACATATCAAAGACCAATGTCTTTGGATAGTAGGAACACGAGTGCTATTTATTCTGTCTTTTCAGCTTTTCTATATTTTCCAAGTGTTTTTTCTATATGAATATGTAATTTGTCTCATATAAATAGGTAAAATAAATGCCTAATGGAAAAAATTATGAAAATACAAAGACAATGCAAATCACGATTTTCCTAACAAGCCACTCTCTGGATCAGTAGATTGCAACCCTGGGTGCGTGCTGGAATCAGGGGTGGGGGGACGAGGAGAAGGAGAGCATTAAGACAAATAGCTAATGCACATGGGGCTTAAAACCTAGACAATGGGTTGACAGGTACAGCAAACCACCATGGCACATGTATACCTATGTAACAAACCTACATGTTCTACGCATGTATCCTGAAACTGAAAGTAAAATTTTTTTTTTTTTAAATGCAGACCTTCAGACTCAACTCCAGAGATTCTGATTCAATTGGGTGGGGTCCAGGCTTAGGCAGGTGTATATATATATATATATATATTTTTTTTTTTTTTGAGACGGAGTCTTGCTCTGTCACCCAGGCTGGAGTGCAGTGGCGTGATCTCAGCTCACTACAAGCTCCGCCTCCCGGGTTCATACCATTCTCCTGCCTCAGCCTCCCGAGTAGCTGGGACTACAGGCGCCCGCCACCTCACCCGGCTAGTTTTTTGTAATTTTTAGTAGAGACGGGGTTTCACCGTGTTAGCCAGGATGGTCTCGATCTCCTGACCTCGTGATCCACCCGTCTCGGCCTCCCAAAGTGCTGGGATTACAGGCTTTAGGCCGGTATATTTTTAAAACACTCTCTAGTGATTCTCATGTGCCACCGGAAATGAGAACCACTGCCTTAGTGTAAATGGAGGAGCAACCTAAGCTCAGTTTATTCAGGTGGCTTCAATGAATACCTCTTAGGCACTCAGCTCTACCCACTATTTATATTCAGGGCTTCAGCTCTCTTCCTCCGAAGAGTGGAGTCTCGCTCCACTTCCCTCCCTCTTACCTGAGATCTCAAACCTGAGCATGCATCCGCATAGCCAGCAGAGCTTAAAACAGGTGCCGGGTCCCACTCCCAGAGTTTCTGATTCAGAAGACCCAGGATAGGGCTCAAGAGTCTGCCCTTCTATCAAAGTCCCCTGGCGATGCGAATGCCACTGCTTTGGGAACCACACTCTGAGAAGTGGTGTCTTTGCGCATCAGGAACAGGAGAATTTTGCCACTGTTTCCCTCACACCCTCCCTTCCGGAATAAGTTACCTCCTTCTTCAGGGCACACAGCTTTCCAGGAGGAGCATTCTTGCTGTGAAATACTGTGGCCACAACCCTTACTTTTATAGAATAGAATTATTAGGCCGGGTGCAGTGGTTCATGCCTATAACCCCAGCACTTTGGGAGGCCGAGGCGGGCGGATCACAAGGTCAGGAGTTCGAGACCAGCCTGACCAACATGGTGAAACCTGGTCTCTACTAAGAAAAATACAAAAATTAGCCAGGTGTGGTGGCGTGCATCTGTAATCCCAGCTACTTAGGAGGCTGAGGTAGGAGAACCGCTTGAAACCAGGAGGCAGAGGTTGCAGTGAGCCGAGATTGCGCCACTGTACTCCAGCCTGGGCAACAGAGTGAGGCTCCAACTCAGAAAAAAGAAAGAAAAGAACAGAATTATTAGAACTGAACTAAGGCTTCTGCCCATCTCCTAGGCCATGTGACAGCTCCAGAAACTGAACTCCACTATCTGGAGAAATACGTCTTCATCAGGGGGAGAAGAAGGGGGAGGTCAAAGGTGTGTGGAAGGGTTTGTTACCAGCCATGGGGAGAGCTGGGACCCTTCTGTAACTCCGTCACTTCCTCCCCACCCTACCCACTAACAGAAGAGTAAGAAAAAGAAGAAACGACTCAGAACCCTCATAAATTTGGCCCGCATTACTTCAGAACCTGTGATACATCCTGTAGAATTTGGACTGATTTTTGTGCTTCTTATAAATAACATCTTTGATAAGCAAATCAATACTGAGGAAGATGGAACATAAAACTACGCCTGTGTCACTTACAAATCACTCTTATCTGTCAGGTGGAATAAGGTCCCTCAGGGCTAAGCCTTGCTCTGGGGCTCAGGGGGTGATGCTCATTAGAAAGGAACTGAAGTTTCTGGATCACCAACTATGCACCAGGCAGAGAAACAGAGCCTCTACAAACATGGCTTTTTTTCTTTTGACATAATAATAGCTAACATTGTATATAGCATTTTGTAGTTTACAAAGATCTTTCACCTACACGCGTTACTTAAAACTGTAGTCAATGCCGTGCGGTAAGTTGTTTATTATTATTATTCTCCTGTTTTCTTGATGGAAAAATAGAGGCCCTTGCATCCAAGTCTTGTGATTCCAAATCTCATGCTCAATCCAGTGTGCACACCTAGCTTCATTTACTCCTCTCAAGAACCTCGTGAAAAATGGTCACTTCCCCAAGTTCATGGAGGTAAGTGGTGGTAGATTCTGGTTTCCAACTAGGTCTAGCTGCCTTCAAAGTCCACAATCTTTCTACACTCTCACACTGAGCACCTCACCACTGTGGCCTGAACAAATCACCTGTGACCCTTATCTAGGACAGTGATCAAGGCACAGTAGAAATGTTAGGTCTGGAGAATTCCACTCGGTGACAGGTTCATAGAAGCTGAAGCTCAGAAGTACTAAGGTTTCGAGTTGGGGGAAAAAGAAAAGATGCTGGGGCATAATGAGGCAGCACCAAGAACATTTGAAAGGAATAAAGAATTCTTTGGTCAAATCCATTTGGAAAATGTTGAGTTTAATGAAAAGCTACACAAAAACCAAGTCTAGGGACTTCTCACAAGGCAGTGATCACTGAACTGTCTACGGAGCCTTTATGTGTTTCAAAGCCATCCTTTGGGACACTTTCTGGGAAAGCTGCTCATGAGGCTGAGGTAGAAAAAGCACAATGACAGTTTCAGCTTTCGTTTGAGCTGTGGTTCTCAAAGTTACGTGTGCACCACACTCTCCTGGATGGCATAGATCGCTGGGTCCCAGCTCCAGAATCCCAGATTTAGTAGGTCAGAGGAGACGCCTGACAATTTCCATTCCTAACAAGTTCCCAGATGATGCTGATAATGCCCTTAGGTCCAAGGACAACCCTTCATGAACCACTATCTTTGGACCAGTGACAGGTCAGTCTTCCGCCGGACCCAGGGTCAAGGTCTAGAATGATTTGCATTCTCTGAAGCCTCCAAAGTTTAATATGAACAAAGGCAGCATGAAGGGAAGAAGGGCTGGTTAAAAGTGAAGCCCCGGGCCGGGCGTGGTGGCTCACACCTATAATCCCAGCACTTTGGGAGGTCGAGGCAGGTGGATCATGAGGTCAGTAGATTGAGAGCATCCTGGCTAACATGGTGAAACCTCGTCTTTACTAGAAATGCAAAAACTGAGCCAAGTGTGGTGGCATGCGCCTGTAGTCCCAGCTACTCGACAGAGTAAGACTTCATCTCAAGAAAAAAAAAAAAAAAGAAATAAAAAAGTGAAGCCCCGGGCAGGCAAACAGAAGAGAGGGGAGTCAGTGCCTCTTCTTTTCCTTGGTGATGCATAAAGTCAATGGGCTGATGATAGGAACTCATGATTATATGAGTAGGTATCATAGGATTTGTTAGCTGTAACACAAAGAACCTCCCCCTTCCCTGTCCTGCCGTCTCTGCCCATCTGCCACTTATCAGGGTAAGAGGACAAAAGAGGGCAAACTGTGACCAAATTGCAATTCAAGAGAAACAACCATGTATATCCAGCCGAGCTCTGAACAGAAGTAAGTCAAAGTTCCGTGA